CCATGGGCGTCGCAGCCATTATATGAGGGTGGGACAAGTCCCCCCCACCTTTTAAAATGATTAGTTTAGACCCCCCCCACTTTTACTATGCGGAAAGTCCGTGAATCGGTCTATCCACTCGCCTCTCATGTAGAGCGCTGTGACAGTGCTTCATTATCAAATCCATTCCACTTGCTTATTGTGAGAATGCCCACATCAATGAAACTCTGTACCATGTTTTCACTGCTACTTTGTACCAAGGCAGATTCTCAGAGCCGTACACATGAGACGTACACATGAGACGTACACATGCTGCGTTCTTTGTGTAGCTGTGTCTTTAATTGTAAAATTATGCACGCCACAGTTTCCACGCTGCGAGGCTCCAGCGCTAACAGTTCACGAGCGTGCTCCACTAGCACCCGGATAAGGCGCTGTTATTAAAGAGGTGGAGGGAGAGTCCTCTCCTGTCAGACTGAGAGACTGATACAGCTCAGTGAGGTGAAGGACTCTCTGAGTGTTTAGATTAACTTTAGTCTAAGTAGTCTCAAACGGTTTGGTAATTATTTATGTAAATAAGTATTTCCAAGGCACACCTTTATATGATCATTATAGTTATAAAAAATAAGAGAATATGAAATAATTCCAACTCATACTTTAGGACAGTAACACAAAAATACAGTTTAAAATCTCCTAATTTTGCTCTCAAAGTGCACCAGATTGATGCTTTTAACTTCAGCATTTAAAAAAAATCTTCCCGGAGGAGCATGCTCCCGAACCCCCCTAGAGGAGGTGAGTTCCACCACCCGCCCACACCCCCTGTCAAATTGTCCCACCCACATTGAGGACGCTTCCTACGCCCATGTGAAACGCCATCCTGTTTAAACCACGTCAAGGATTATTTCTGAAACAGTATGGAGCTCAAATGCTTTTTCTCTTGCAGGTTTATCACAAGGTGAGTTCTTTTTTTATTTCCTGCTATTTAAACACATCTGTTCTCCAGTACAGGTTAGCTCTGAGTGTTAGCGAGGCTTGCTAATGTAAACAAAGACGTCCAAAACAAGTCAGGCATTGTTTCTGATAGCAACTTTCTGTGGGTCCGCCGCCTAATTGACGTCAGTTCGGATGGAATCTGTATCCGCTCGTTGTACACCCGTTTTTAAAAGACTTGGGTAAGGAGGAAAAGAGAGAGGGTTTTATTTTCTGACGCTGCGTGAGTTCCCCGACGCACCGGGGACACATATTCATGTATAAAAGACATCACAAAGTGCATTTTGCATGATAGGTCCCCTTTAAGTAGGGCAATATCTTCTGTCAACATGATTTAGGTATGGGTATACGAGGACGGAAACATGTGTTATTATTAATGATATTATGCTTTGGCTTTACCCTTTCCTGTAGCGTGTTATATAGGTATATTTGTGCATGTAAATGGTCTGCAAAGGCTACTTTGTTTACTTCCCTAACATAGTGACATCTCTACGTAATACTCAAACTACTATTGGCTAGGGCTCCAACACATTACACGTGATAGGCTAAGGGGAGGGACATCTCTAAGCGGTTCATTAATCACATTAGAGCCGGCCAGCTAACCAATCAGAGCAGACCGGGCTCTGGTTTCAGACAGAGAGTGAAAAAAGGTGCTGCAGCACAGACAGTATGAGCAAAATAAAGAGCTTTTTGAACATTAAAGCATGGAGACATGTCACAGTAGAAGCACTAAATGTTATGATACCTGAAAATGAGCATAATACTTTATATAAGGGAACTTTAACAGAGAGGAAATTAAGCTCTATGGCTTGTGGCCGAACAACTACACACTGAAACGGAAATCTTTGATATAGCTGCGTGCTATATGAACTACACTGGTGTTTTATTTATGCCATGAATAAATAATTCACTTTTCCATCAAGGTGTCTACATCACCTTGTCCTGACCTTCATGGAGATCTTTGAAGCTGTTAGGTGAGCGAACGGCAAACAGGAGCTGACTTTTCACCTTTAGAAGTGTAAAATTAAAACTGGTTAGCACAACGATAGAAGTGTGTGTGTCAACCCACACACGCATGCAGACAACTGATTGAAGAAACACACAGGCATAGAGTCCACAGAAACCACACCAACTGTGTGAGACAAATATATACACAGGAAGTGCCTCCCACTCCTCTGCCCCTGCCTCTCTCTCTCTCTCTCTCTCTCTCTCTCTCTCTCTCTCTCTCTCTCTCTCTGAGCGTTACTCATGGTGGTGTGTTGCTGAGCAGCAGCCAGTCGTGTTTTTCCCCTCGCCGAGCTTACTCTCTCTCATCCTCTGACTCTCCGCGCGCTCTCTGGCTCAAGTGGACAGTCCAGACCTCTCCTGTCCTCTTCTTCATTCCTTTGTCTGTTGTTTCTTTGCATCTTTTCCCTTCATCTGTTTTATTGTTTTAACATTTCTTCCTCTTTCAAGCCCCCATGTGCCAGGGGCATTAGTGGGGGTCCCAGAGAGAGTGTGAGAGTGTGTATGTGTGTGAGTGTGAGGTTTCGGCATGGAAGCGGTGGCACTTTACACGTTTCGTGCCACAGAGGGTGATGAACTCAGTTTTAACAAGGGAGACTTGCTAAAGGTAAGAGAAATACTTTCTTCCACTTTTTTTCTTAACATTTATCCATCCATTTATCTATCTATCTATCTATCTATCCATCTATTTATCTATCTATCTAAAAACATAGAGCACACATTAAATCAGCAGTAGTGGACCAACAGATTGAACCCCCCTCTCTCTTTTCTCTCTCTCTCTCTATGCTTCTGCTGTGATAATTACAACTATTATAACTTTAGCGTATAGCAAAAGTGTGCTTCTGTTGATGACTAAAGATTTATCAGTATAAAAAAAAACAGCCAACTTAAAATAAGTGTTCAAATGTTTTTTGGGAAATCCCCGTTTTTTCTATTTTGCTGATTAGAAGATTTTAACCCGTTCTCATACCTGAGCGTTAACACTTCCAAGGTGTTGGGAGCGTTACGTCTTGTGACATAAATGCTTAAAAATTATACTTGGTGAGGTCTAGGCAACTAAGCAGTGAGGTTTAGGGAGTAAATCATGGTTTAGGTCAAATAAGAATGTTTGTTAGAAAGCTTAAAATCACATGGATAAATAAAGAACAATACTCAAAAGAAATGACATAACTATCTTACAGAAATAAGATGTGTCATTTAAACATAAGTCAACGGTGAGTTTTGGTTTCACACATGAAAGAGCCAGCCTTTTCCTGTCGTTTTGCATGTGTCACCTGACTTCCTCCATTACTCATAATAACTTCAGCCAGGCACAAACTGATGATAAAGTATTTAGGTCACACTCACAATCGTTTATGAAGGGCCACCAATCAAGCCTTTGCATTTAAAGAGTTGTGGATGCCCTACACTTTAGGGCCTAAAGTTTGATACCACTGTCATGTTTGTAGCTAAATACAGTATGTAGCTAGCTGGCTTAGTTTAGCATAAGGAAATACTAACCAAAAGCTTACAAAACGTTTTTAAGCCTAATATAAACACATTGTATCTCATTTGTTTTATCAGTAATGTAATTGGAAAAAGACTTAGTGTGGTTAGTATTTGTGTTTTGGTTCCAGTGTTTTTCTAGTAATATGCTAAAGCTAAGCTAACCTGCTGCTGGCTGTACTTAATCTTTAATCAACAGACATGACAATGGTGACAACTATTTAATACAACTTTGTGTATAAAAACAAAAGTAAGGGATTACATATTTTACATTTTGAAAATATTAATTTATAACTGGTCTTATTTTTGCTATTGGTTGCAAAGCAAACGTTTTCTACAGCTGATATTCTATTGTGATGGATACCAGGCCAAATGCAGTGCTTGGATGGTTCCTGCACAGCTGGAAATTACTGTAGTAGAAAATTGTCCCTCTAAGACATCGGCAGTAAACCTCAGTATTAAAGAGCAAGAGCTTCTCGAATTATAGCGTGGCACCAGCTGTTCCACGGTCATACAGTAAACACACACATTAATGGTAGAAGACAGCGAGATCAATTTCTCCACAGGATTTAACCTCCATAAACTGTGTGCAAAGAGTTTTAGTGGCAGCTCTGACTTTTTCATAATTATGTTCTTGCTCTTATTATGATATTGTTATGGAAACTAACCTATGCTTTACTAGTTTGTGAAAGGCAAGGAAAGCATTGGAAATTATTCAAGGAAGAAACAGATGAGGCAAGTGGAAGAAAAGACCTCAACAACAAAATAACCCATGACATGTATTTGAATGTGTCAGGATAACAATGCCTAAAGGTGCTATTTACATATTTTGTTTGCAGTAGGGTGGTTTATTATTCATCCGAGACACACTTCCCTTTATAGAAAACACGTTGATTTGGAGCTGATTTTGGATGCAGCCATAACGAGGTGGCATTTAGTTCTGCATCTTTATCACTGCTTTTAAATAAATAAATAAATAAATGTGATTCTTTATTCCCAGCAGTATTTATGTGTAGATGGTCCTGTCCATTCTGTAAATGATGATGGTGTTATTGTTTGGCTTTGGTCAGCCAACTGTGACGCAATACTATCCTTATCTTAATGGCTAGGTCAACATCCTGGCCACAGTAACATATTTGCTTTGACTAAAAGGGGACCTACATTTGTTCAGCTTAAGCGCCTTAATTTGTCTTCTTCTGCTAGGATAAACTGCTGTCTTTTCTCAGCCAAACAGTTGCGGTTCAGACTTGGGTCAAACAGTACTTTTAAATAATTTCTTCACATTTGTCCATTCCCTCTTGCATCACCAGATGGCCTGCGCTTTACAAACTTACAACTACTCGTACAGTGTTGTGCAAAATGTGTTGCTGTTGCCACCTAGAAATTGATTAATAAGGCTGACTTGAGTGTAATGAAATGATAAAAATAGCTCCATATTCAAATAAAAAAAGTTGCAGCTATTAACATTTTTAAAGCTGGAAGAAGATGTGGCCAAGTCCCACACAAGGGAGCCAAAAGTGGAGTGTGAAAAGAGAAACTGTTTCTTTTTTTCTCTAAAAACCCTAACACACGACAATTTGTGGTTTGAATTGGGCTGTTTGCCAGACTCTTCTTTCACTGGCAAAATCAAAAAGCTAGTTTGCAATTTAACAACAAAATAAATAGCTTCATTTGGAATTCTGTTAAATATATTATTTACAGTCTAGCGTTCATTATTTAACACTAAAATCCATATCTTTCACATATCTTTTTGACAGCAATTAAGCTTTTGTGTTGATTTCACTAAACGTATAAATGCAGAAATACAATTAGTTTGTAGACATCGTTATTTATCTTTCACTGCATTCTCGACTGTAGTTGCCCCGAACATCTGCTGGCTTAACTGGAACTCCAAAATAGTAGACGCTGTATGAAGAGGCTGGATTGAATTACTATCAGCTGAATAACTGGGGTTGGTCAATGATAAACATCCCATCCCATAAACAACCCATAAACGCAAATGGAGAGAAAAGAAAGAAACAAATAATTGATTAAACTGAGGATTAGACTAACTCAGGCCGGGTCCTTTCTCAAGAAGGAAATAATCACTACAAGGTTAGCTTTGGATTTAAATAAGGAAGACGATAAGCTGATTTCATTGCAAATTGAACAGCTGTTGAAGTATCTCTCATTTTCTCCCATCAATGGAAAAAGCAAGAAGGACAAAGAGAGGAATTGTCATGAGAGTCGAGAAAAGGAGATGAGTCAAAGTAATGAATTACCTGAGGCCTACATTTGCAATGTGAATATGCTAGTCTAACATGTTGTATTAAACTGCCTAAAATATATATAGGGGTTGTTTAACCCTCCTGTTGTCTTCGGGTTAAATCTGACCGATTTACTACTTTCATCAATCTTAACTTTTTTGTTTTACATTCGATGGCTTTATGATATCCTTCACAGTAGACATTTGAACATGTACAATTGCTGATCACCACTTTCATTGAATTTTGGACGATTTAGTTAACTTTGTAACACCCATGCTGTTCCCGGTCAAAAATGGCCTCCATAAAGAAAAGGAATTAGTAACCATCCGGATCAGATAAAACACACACACACACACACACACACACACACACACACACACACACACACACACACACACACACACACACACACACACACACACACACACACACACACACACACACACACACACATACATACACTAGATGTGTTTCCCCGCCTTATGTGCCCATCCCCCCATGTGAATCACACCTGGTACACACAAACACACACACATACATACACAGAACAATTTGACACATTTCCCGCTCTTATGTGCCCCTCCCCCCCATATGGATCACCTGGCACACGCAATACATGTTCAGTGTCTATTCTTTGTATATTTACTGCAGTGTTTCATGTATACCAGTAA